AAGAACACAGACGCAACATCTCATTTACATATCGACCAACGCAATGCTCCAAGTGCAGCGCAAATTAAAGCAGTCGCAAATAAAGAAATAATGAAGCCACAGTACGTTGAAAAATGAAGGGTTGCAAGAAGTTTTGATAGCGCTGGTATTGCGTTACTCCTAATTGAGGGTTTCAAGTCGTCTTTTATTTCCTGAAGCAAATTAAAAATAACATGTCTTGGCAAACGTTATGTTCGGATAATGTGTTTAATACATGGGGAAAAATTCCTCTCCCTTCTACCCTTTTCTCTGTTCTCTGCTGTGCCTCCTCCTGGCAACAATAATTGCAGCCATTTCAAGCGCAAAGCAGTTTAAGACATGCTTTTTTTTCTGTGTTAAATAATGGTGCAAATACCAGTAATTTGAGGAGCGCAAACGTTAGTAAATGTCATTGCGTGATTCAATTTGACGAGTGTAAACGTTAGTAAAACGCATTGCATCATTCATTTGAATACTCTCCACCCATAAATTTTGCGTCTGAAAGGGAAACTCCTACAAATGCATATTCAATAAGGTCAGGCGCAAAAATAACTGTCCACACATTTTCAGCGCTAATTCTTCACTGCACATCTTTAGTTAAACCTGACAGTACTATTTTAACGGCAAAAGACAGCTGGCGCTGTTTGTAAAGCTGACCCTAGTATGAATGGGAATCTTAAGGAATTCTATTATTCTGAAGGCTCTTAATGATTCTTGATGTCATAATGGTTTCCTTCATAATTACATTTTTCAGTACTTTTAAGATAGAAATGTTTGAAAACATTTCTTTTGCTTTTATTGTTTGCCTGTGATTATGATCATTTCAATTAACTGAAGAGCTGTTTACATAGACTTTTAAATGACTGTGTTTTCAGAGCTCCCATAAATGCAAACCAATAACTGACCTCAGATACATATTAAATAACAATATTACAATTATTATTAAAATACTACTAATAAAACAATATGCCTTAAATAAGTTATAACATAATTCAATGCTACTTCAAGGCTTGTAGTAGACGTCACCCAGAAAGCTACTGAATGAAACACACAGACAGACCTGAGACAGAGAAACAGAATAATAGCAATAGAGAGAAAAGCAGTGAGACCTGAGGTGGAAGAGATGTGTGAAGAGAGGCAGAATGCTCTGCAGCTCTTCCTCTGGTATGGAGGTCCAGAGCAGGTTGAGCGAAGCTGCAGTGCAGTGCTGCAGTGTGAAGCGCAGGGCCGCAGAGTGAACAGAGTCCAGATCTCTGCTCTGCAGGTTAATGTAGTTCTTCACTGAACTCAACAGACTGGACACAAACCCAGCAGAGCCAGACTCATAGATCTCTCTGATTGTACACAGCATGAAGACAGAGCTCATCCTGTACAGACATATTTTTCATTATTAAATCATTGTACATTTTTTATCATACTATTCAGTTTGTTTTTATGTGCAAAAATGAAAAGGAATACATTTTACATGCAGATTTTGTGAAAACAATAATTGCTTACTGTTTAAACTTAATCCGGTTCAGGAATGGCAGAATTTCTCTAATGTTGACCTGAATGTTGCTGTATCTTAGGTTCAGAGTGATTTGTTGAATTCTGTGCTGCAGGAAATAATGAAACTCTTCCCAGCTCAAGGAACAGAAAGTCAGATCATTGCCCACTTTCTGCAGGAAGCTTCGAGTCAGTTCTTCTTCCTGAGCTTCCTGCAGGAAGCATAGTCAGTTCCTCTTCCTGAGCTTCATAGACACATTCAACCAGCTTCTGGAGAGTCACTTTGGACAGTCTACACAAACACACACACACACACACACACACACACACACACACAAAGAGTTCATTATATTTATATATTGTTATTGTAGATATAAAATCAAACGCTTGAAATGTGTCCTACAGTCAGACCTGAGAGTCACTGGTCCCTGGTGACACAGTAGGACACACACAGAAACAGACTGAATCTTGTGTCCAATCAAGTTCAAACACTGGACAGTCCAGAGTCTCAGAAGGATGGCCAAGCTGCTCAGGACTCTGGACAGATTCCTCTCTGACTGCTGTTTCTCATTCAGATCAATTGTGATCTCATTAACAGTGATGGGAGCTCGAACCTTCATAGACCTCAAAGCCTGCACTACTTTCACCACCATATAACCACTCAGCCTGAAAAAAAACAACACCACACTGTTTGATGAAATGAATCAAACAAAAAAATAGCATTTGAAATGTTAAAGGCACGATACGTAAGATTTTTGCAATAAATATCCAAAAACCTCTAGATATTTTGTTAACCTGTGTGCTTACATTATGCTAAAAGTTTCCAACAATGTCTAAATCCAGAGAAATTCACAATTTTAAGTAGTAAAATGGTCCATGTCTTCGTGTCATATGTCAGTGGGGTAATTTCCCGCTATTCTCGGTTGTTAGTAGAAGCCATGGAAACGCTAGGGCTGCACGATTAATCGAACGCGATTGTCATGTGCATTTTGTCAGTAAAGCCGGTTCTGTAATCAGCAGTAAATCATCATCACGTGCTTTCAGATGGAGCAGCATTTACTA